GACTATGACAATTGAAAACTTTGGAATCAAATAATCAGGAGGATATGAGAATATATTTGCAAATTTATGTTGTTATGTGCCATCTATTTGGTGTGACTCACAGTGACCCTGTGTGCAACAGAACAAAACCCTGCCTGGTTCTGCACCATCTGCACCATACTTGCTATTTTGGAGCCCATCATTGCAGCCACTGTGTCAATCCATCTCACTGAGGATCTCCCCCTTTTTCACTGGCCCTCTACTTTATCAAGCATGATATCCTTCTCCAGGAATTGGTCCCTTCTGACAACATGACCAAAGTGTGAAAGACAAAGTCTGGCCATTCTTACTTCTAAGCAGCATTCTGGCTGTACTTCCTCCAAGACAAATTTGTTTGTTCTTCTAGAAGTCCATAGTATATTCAGTATTCTTCGCCAGCACCACAATTCAAATGCATCAATTCTCTTGTGATCTTCCACATTCATTGTTCAGTTTTCACATGCATATGAAGTGATTTAAAATACCATGGCTTTGTTCGGGTGTGCCATAGTCTTCAAAGTGACATCTTTGCTTTTGAATACTTTAAAGAGGTCTTTTGTAACAGGTATGCCCAATGCAATATGTTGCTTTATTTCTTGGCTGCTGCTTTCATGGGTGTTGATTGTGGATCCAAGTAAAATGAAATCCTTGACAACTTCATTTTTTTTCTCCATTTTGCTTATTGCTCTCATTGTGAGGATTTTTGTTTTGTTTACATTGAGGTGAAATCTATACTGAAGGTTGTGATCTCTTATCTTCACCAGTAAGTACTTCAAGTCTTCTTCACTTTGAGGAAACAATGTTGTGTCTTCTGCATATCAAAGGTTGTTAATGAGTCTTCCTTCAATCTGGATGTCTGATTCTCCTTCATATAGTCCAGTTTCTCAGAGAATTTGCCTAGCATACAGATTGAATAAGTATGATGAAAGGATACAACCCTAACATACATCTTTCCTGATTTTAAACCATGAAAAATCCCCTTGTTCTGTTTGACTAAGAGGTCTGTGTAGTTTCCTTATGAGCACAGTTAAGAGTTCTAGAATTCCCATTCTTCACATTTTGTTGTGATCCACACAGTCAAATGCTTTTGCATAGCAAATAAGACCCAGGTAAACATCTTTGTGGTATTTTTTGCTTTCAGCCAAGACCTATCTTACATATCCTTGTTCCATGTCCTCTTTTGAACTGACTTGAATTTCTGACAGCTCCCTATTACTACATTGCTGCCATTGTTCTTAAATTATCTTCAGCAAAATTTTACAATGTGAGATATTAGTGATATTGTTCAATAATTTCTACATTGTTTGAAATAGGTACAAATATGGATCTCTTCCTGTTGATTGGCCAGTTAACTATCTTCCACATTTCTTGGCATAAACAAGTGATCACCTCCAGCACTGCACCCATTTGTTGAAACATCTCAATAGATATTCTATGAATTCTTGGAGGCTTGTTTTTTTGCCAGTTCCTTCAGTGCACATAGCCTGTACTTTGCAAGGAAAAGACACATTGATGAGATCATCTATTGGAGAAAATATAAATCCTCTATATTGTGAATGAAGACTATGTGAGAAAATGAAGTTTCTAGAGCCTCACAAGACTCCTTGTAGCCTCTAACACTAGAAATCTGGCCACAATGCTGCACATAACAGCAAAGTTCTTGGAAGTTTTATCTGAGCTGAGATGTTGTGATAGTTGGAGCTGTGTGTCAACTTGGCTGGACCCCAGTTCTGTGTGATTGTTCCCATGATGGGATCGGATGACTGTGTTCTGAGTGGCCAATCTGTTCAAGGGGAGTTTCCCTAGGGATGTGGCCTGCTTCCAGGATATCCAGGGACATCCTGGGAAGAGAGACATTCTTCTGTGGATCGGGATTCTGTTATGCTGCCTACAACTGTCCATGAGTGAGCAGTCCCCCATTCGGCCTGGAGATCTTGGATTCCTCATTCGTTGAAGTCAACAGCCGGTGTACTGCCTGCCAGCCTTGAGCTTCTCAGCCCCTGCAGGGAAAAGTCTCCAGCCTGACGTTTCCTCCAGGAACTTTGGACTTGCCGGCTTCTATATGTTTGTGAGCCATTTTCCTAAGATAAATTTCTCTCCCTCTTGATATATATATATATATAAGCTTTGCTGGTTTTTGTTTCTCTAGAGAACCCAGTCTAACACAGATATGTTTCAAAATATAAACTCTCTCTGCAGAACTTTTAGTTCTTTATGCCTGTCTTCTATGGCCACCCAGGTTGAATTCTTTATCTTATTCTTCATCAGCCCCAATCTATGACTTTTCTCTCCCACAGATTTAGGAATTTCTGTTCTTTTTCAAAATATTTTATTTTATTTTTTTGTTGAAAATACACACAACAAAACATAGACCAATTTATACATGTACAATTAAGTGACATTGATTACATTTTTAAAGTTGTGCAACCATTCTCACCCTCCTTTTCTGAATTGTTTCTCCCACATTAACGTAAACTCACCATTCCTCCCTGCCAAGTTACCTGTCTAATCTTTCTAGTTGCTGTTGCCACTTTGATCCCACATACATAGTTCTTTTAAAAGAGCATGATACTCAAGGCTGACATTCTTTACTGAGTAAACTAAACTTTATTTTGATTTAAGAAAGACTTCATGAGATATTTTTGAGCAAATATTTAAAGAATACCTCAGCACAATAGTATTAGGAGTTCATCTAACCTCAATATATTCAGAAAATATGATTTCATGATAATTTGAAATTATGTTCTGCATTTTCCTCTTTTGAGAAGGATTTGTCTATAGAATCTTTGACCAAAATATTCAGTAATGGTAGCCAGGCACCATCTAGTTTTTCCAGTATCATGGAAAAGAGGCAGCTGTTCATGGAGGAAATTAGCCAATCATTCTTTTTCCTCCTCCTATCAGGATTTTGTTATGATCTACACAGTTGAATGCCTTTGCATAGTCAATAAAACACAGGTAAACATCTTTCTGGTATTCATTGCTTTCAGCCAAGATCCATCTGATATCAGCAATGATATCCTTCATTCCACATCTTCTTCTGAATCCAGCTTACATTTCTGGAAGTTCCCTGCTAATATAATGCTGCAATCATTTTTTAATTATCTTCAGCAAAATTTCAATTGAATGTGATATAAATGACACCATGCAAAGGCATTTGACTGTGTGGATAATAATAAATTATGGATAACTTTGCAAAGCATGGGAATTTCAGAACACTTAATTGTGGTCATGAGGATCCTGTACATTGACCAAGAGGCTTTTGTATGAACAGAACAAGAGGATACTTCATGGTTTAAATCAGAAAGGGCATGCATCAAGGTTGTATCTTTTCATCATACTTATTCCATCTTTATGCTGAGCAAATAATCTAAGAATCTGGACTATATGAAGAAGAATGTGACATCAGAATTACAGAAAGACTAGTTAACAATCTGAAATATGCAGATGACATGACCTTGCTTGTTGAAAGTGATGATGACTTGAGGCAATTACTGAAAGTCAAAGACTATAGTTTTTGGTATGGATTACACTTCAATGTGGAAAAAAAATCCCCACAATTGGACAAATAAGTAACATTACAATAAATGGAGAAAAGATTGAAGTTGCCAACTATTTCATTTTACTTAAATCCACAATCAACACCCATGGAAGTAGCAGTCAAGAAATCAGACATCATGTTGCACTGGGCAAATCTGCAAAAGATCTCTTTGGAGGGGTAAAGAGCAAAGATGTCATTTTGAAGACTTAGGTGTGCCTAACCAAAGCCAAGGGAGCTCTGGTAGCATAGTGCCTAAGGCACTTGACTGCTAACCAGAAGGCTGGAGGTTCAAACCCACTAGCCACTCCACAGAAGGAAGGTTTGGCAATCTACTTTTCGTAGTGATAACTGCCTCGGAAACCCAAGGAGGGGTCGCTATGAGTCGGGGCCGACTCGACGGCACATAACAACAACAACAACAACAACCAAAGCCATGGTATTTTCAGTAGCCTCATATGCATGTGAAAGCTGGACAATGAATAAGAAAGACAGAAGAAGAGTTGAGGCTTTTGAGTTGTGGTGTTGGCAAAGAATACTGAAAGTACCATGGACTGCCAAAAGAACAAATCTGTCCTGGAAGAAGTGCAGCCAGAATGCTCCTTGGAAGCAAGAATGGCCAGACTTCATCTCATCTACTTAGGTCATGTTGTCAGAAGGGGTCATTACCTGGAGAAGGATATCATGCTTGGTAAAGTGGAGGGTGAGTGAAAAAGGGGAAACCCTAGAAGAAGATGGATTGACACAGAGGCTATAATGATGGGATCTGGTATAGCAAGGATTGTGAGGCTAGTGCAGGACTGGGCAGTTTTTCATTCTGTAGTATATAGGGTTGCTGTGAATGAGAGCTCTGGTAGCGTAGTGCCTAAGGCACTTGACTGCTAACCAGAAGGCTGGAGGTTCAAACCCACTAGCCACTCCACAGAAGGAAGGTTTGGCAATCTACTTCTGTAGTGATACTGCCTCGAAAACCCAAGGCAGGGTCGCCATGAGTCGGGTCCGACTCGACGGCACATGACAACAACAACAACAACATTAGTGAGAGCTGACTCAATGGCATCTAATGACAACAACAGTGCATTCTCCAAAATTCATTAAAAATAATGATAGATTCATGACACTAATGATTTTAGTAGGTGCAGAGCCTAAGGTAAACACTTCAGAATGATAGAAAAGGGCATCAGTACATTCAGAGCAGAACATTCTAACTAGATTAAGGTGATTATTTAATAACTTAAATAATTAAAGTGTACTATCTCCTTGAGTTTGTTTTTTGGTTTTGAATTTCCCTATAATAACTTTGTGCCATTCTCTCATGTACTTCTCATTTAACTTGCAGCATCAGACATTATAGATAGTCAGTAGTATTCCTTACTCTAAACTCATGCAATGTCTTGTCATAAGCGACTTTACCCCAATTTTCCACCAATCTCTTGACTTTATTTTAGTACCTGATATGTTGCAAATAGTTTTCCAAAGTTCTTCTCACAGCTGCCTTCACCTCCTTGTTCTTCAGGCTGTAGATGAGGGGATTCAGCATGGGAGTGATCACACTGTACTGCACAGAGAAGATCAGCTCCACGAGGGACCCTGAATTTGGCATGAGGTGACGCAGCATACCTGAACCATAGTAAAGTGTCACTGCAGCGAAGTGAGAGGAGCAGGTGGAGAAGGCCTTGCTTCTGCCTGAGGTAGAACTGATGGTCAGGATGGTGGAGATAATGCGTGCATATGATAAGAAGACCAAGAAGAAGGTTCCCAGCCCATGCAGGAGAGTAGAACAGAGTAAGACAATGATGTTCCTGGAGACATCAGAGCAGGACAAAGGGAGGATAGAGGGCATCTCACAGCTGAAATGGTGGATGATGTGGGCCTCACAGAACATCAGGTTCATAGCTAGGAGGATATTGATGAGTGCATCCAGAAATCCCAGGCCCCAGGAGCCCCATACAAGCTGCACATACAGCTGTTTACTCATGATCTGTCCATAGAGCAGAGGGTGGCAGATGGCAGCATAGCGGTCATAGGCCATGGCACAGAGCAGAAGAAGTTCTGTTCCTCCAGTGATAAATACAAAGAAGGCCTGAGTCAGACAACCCTCTACTGAGATGGTTTTTGTCTCAGACATGAGGTTCTCTAACAGTTTAGGCACAGTGACCGAAGAAAAGCAAAGATCCAGGAAAGAGAGTTGACTCAGGAAAAAGTACATGAGGGTATGAAGGTGGGAATCAGATCTGATCACCAGTAACATCATCAGGTTCCCTATCATGGTCAGGAGATAAATCAGCAGGAAGAGCATGAAAAGCAGAACCTGGACATGGGGGTTGGCAGACAGTCCGAGAAGGATAAACTTGGTAACGGTGCTGTGATTCCTCAATGCCATTTACAAAAGCTATTCCCTGGAAATAATGTGAAAAAGCATGACAGGGAAGGTTCTACTATACCTCAAGCAATTTTCTCAGTGCATTGATTCTCTTCTCCTAGCACTATTTTTACTAAACATTATCAGCCTTACTATGGCCTAAGTTTTTAGTAAGTCAATTGAAACATAAAAATGAATGACATATGGTCCCTGCTCTTAAAAGGATTCCAATCTATTGAAAGGTATAGATATGAAGACAAAATATTATAAAATTGTAATTGGTACAAAGGGAGCTAAAAATGTGACTTAATGAGGGATGAATAATAACTTATACTTAAAGGATTTGAGCAAAACTAGTCAGTGGGAGAACTCTTGCCTCCATCCGGGTGACCTGGTGTGATTCCCTGCCAACAGACCTCATGAACAGCCACCACCTGTCTGTCATAGGAGGCTTGTGTGTTGCTATGAAGTCGAACAGGTTTCAGCAGAACTTCCAGACTAGATGGGCCTGAAGATCTACTTCTGAAAAACAGCCATTGAAACCTCTATGGATCACAATGGTCCAATCTGAAACCTATCATATGGAGATGGTACAAGTCTGGGCAGCTTTTCTTCCATACCTCCTGAGGTCACTGTGAAATGTGAGCCAACTAGACAGTTAACGACAGCAACATGATTGCTTTAAGAAAATGTGTATCAGATGGAGTTCTTAGTTTTCATGAACAATGTACTCAAAGTTTCAAAACTGATAAAAAATAAGCCATGTTTGGTAAAACATGGGAAACTCTGAAAAACTGATATCCAGTGTGTAAGTGAGCATAATAGAACAGTAGCTCAGAATGTGGACTACTGTGTCAGACAACATTCAGATCTAAAGTCCACCACAGAGTAGCTATATGACCTTGTACATAATATATAAATCTGTGTCCTTCAATTTTCTTCTATATAAAATACAGATAACAGTACTATGAAAAGTTTTAAGGAGTAAATGTGAACTTATATAAAAAAGCTCTTTGAAAAGCACATAGTTCTAATTATTCAGTAAATATTTGTCATTATTAATAGTTAATAATTAACTGTTAATATCATTAATAACTTAATATTATTAACTATGAATAGTTAATAATTAACTATTCATAGTTAATAATTAAGTTATTAACTATATTAATAGTTAATAATTTATTATTTCTTGAGATATAATTTCTATGCAAAACTCATAAATTCTCACATATGGTGAAACACTATCAAAGATCAAAGTTGTTTCTCCTACTAGTACTTTTATTCCCTATCAAGGGAGGTGTAAGAAAATAATCTTGAAATCACTACTGGTAGTTCCCCTGCTCAGAACTCCAGTGAGAAGGCAAATATGCAATTTGAAATTATTTTGATGTGAATCTTCTCTCTTAAAAGAGTAAACAACTTTAGAGTTATTAAGGGTGTTTTCACTAAGAAAGGAAATTATGTAATTATCCCTACAGAGTAGAGCTACCAGACTCCGGATAAGATAAGGGGAGAAGTGGTTGGGACTGAGTGTGGACCCAAGGGCCCATCCCTCTATAACATTACTAGGATGGATGTATATCTTAGAACAGGTCAGAGTCTTGGAACAAGCAAACAGAAGGAATAATTGAAAGAATATTCTTGTGTAGAAGCTGCCAGGATAAAGGGCCATGCCCTGCCCTACATATTCTGCACCACTCTCCCAGACAATATAGGAAAGAATTTGGAAACTGACTAATGGAAGTGAGAGTTTGATTCTCAGCCTCTGCTGGAAATACCAGCTTCTGCCAGAAACATCCACTGCTGCTAATCCCTGCTAACTTTACTAAACACATACTCAGAAGACTGCTTAAAATAGGAAAAGCAGAGTCAATCCTTTATATGCCTCTGTTGTACACATATTTGGATTAACTTCTCTGACTTTCATCCTGAGACATTATCCTCAGCCTCCATATACCATACTTCTCCCTCATGGACAGATTGGGCTCATGTCCCTACATTCTGTTTTTCCTGAGTCTTTAGGTCTGGTTTGTAACTGAGTGCTTGAACACTGAGTGTGTACCCATGACTTCCAGCTGTGGATTTACACCCTGAAGTCTCAACTTTGGTTCAGCCATGGGACTCATTATGGTGGCCCAGTCAATTTCCTGGCTGTGGCCTTTCCCATTAAGTATAAATAAGTCCAAAGCCTGGACATGGGAAATTGGAATTTCTGAATTCCTATTTATTGACTGTTCAGCCATAAACCCACCCTCAAAATCCTTTTCATAATCTACAGATTACCTGTGCATCTTGTCCAATCAGGTGATCTGTTCTTCAGCTTGGCTGAAGACTTTTATTTGAAATCATTTACTAAGAAAGAAGATGAACTGAAGAAGGTAGCTTTCTGTATCTTGTGTCATGGTTGAGCTTTTAAATCTCATAATCATGAAAAATTTGACTGGATTCTGAGCTAATAGAGTGAAAAGCCACAGGACAGTTCCTTCTTTCAAAGGCTCTCAAACATCCTTTGATTTTTCCTATTTCTAATATCACATCTCAGCCACAGATAATGTTGTCTGCTTTAACCAATCTGCAGAGAAGTTATGTTTAGGCAGCTTGTAAGGTTGATTCTGTGCTGTTGGTAGCCCGGGGATGGTTGAGCAGTATTTTTTTACAGTTGATATTTACAGCTAGAAGTCAGAGTTAGTTGTCAAGAACTTTAGCAACATTGGTTTCTATAAGTACTCTAGGAAATCTCTTAGGCTGTCACCTGAAACATCTGGGTTGATGTAATGACCTGAAATAATTAAAGGTAAATTTCTGAGTCTAGTGGGAGTTGAAAGGAGACAAAGCAGACAACGGGGTATTTGACAGATCCCCAAGCAGGAAAGGAATACTTTAAGGGCTTTTTCAATAGATAATTTGAAGGCTGTTTCTTCATTTTCAGACTTCTCAGATGAAATTATTTTCAGAAAAATTGCTACATAACAGTTATTGATCAAATAAATAAAAAGAAGGGGGAAAAAAAAAAAAGACTTAGCAAACACATTAACTTACCTAAGCAGCCTAATCAAATCTATTTACTTTGGTGAACTGTTTAGATTCTTACACAAACTAAAACACATTTCCTGTTTTAGTTTGAGTACTTCCATACTTAGGAATATTTAGTAAAGTATTTAAAGTTTATCATAGTCTTAAGAAGAGACTGTTATATATACCAACATAGAGACTGTTATATATACCAACATTTCTATCTTGGTTCTCTAGTGCTGCTATAACATACTACAAATGGATGACTTTACCCAACAGGGATTTATTCTCTTACAGTTTAGGAGACTAGAAGTCTGAGTTCAAAGTGTCATCTCAAGGGGCTGGGTAAAGGCCCCTAACCTTGGGCTTCAGCTCTGTCTCTTGTTCCAGACCCACTAGAGCTGGAGGCTTTTTCTGACTCATGCAGCTGCTGGCTACTAAGGCTGATGGACCTAAGATGGACAAGTAAAATGGCATAGTCCCCAAATTAGCAGACAACACAGCAGGCCACTAGTTCAAGTCCAGGAACAATCCCAAGATCAGCAGGCAACATGATAGGCCACTGAGATAAAGATTTGGCTAAATACAGGATACAAATATGCCAAATGTTTGAGACCTTTCACAAAGCTTCTCCTTATATACTGGAAGCAGACCACATTCCAAAGGCAGCTACTCAGCTGCTAACAGCAGATTCCACCATGGAGCTGATTATCAACCTCATCATGGGAATAACTACATCCAGTTGCCCAACCACTCAAAACCGTGGCCCAGCCAAGTTGACATACCACTTTAAATATCATGATTTCCATTGATTTATTTCTAATTAGCTACAAGGTTTTCAATCAAACTAGAATGCTGTGGTTTATTTCCTACCTTCCTTTGAAAATATATTGAGTAAACAAAAGAAATACAATTAATTCTTGTCTAGAAAATCAAGTCCACTTTTCTAGAACATCTACTTTCTCTGTTAATTCATATAAGATTTAAAATTATTTCATTAATTTTTATTTATCTGATTATAAAATTCACATATTACTTTGGCTCTGTAGTGCTGCTCTTACAGCAAATACAAGGGGATAGTTTCAACAAGCAGGGACTTGTTTTCTTACAGTTTAGGAGGCTAGAGGTCAGAGTTTAAAGTGCCGGCTCTAGGGACTGGGTGAAGGCCTCTTGATTTTGGGCTTCAGTTCTGCCTCTTGCTCCCAACCCACTGCAGCTGGAGGCATCTCTTAACTCAGGTAGCTGCTGGCTGCTGAGGCTGACAAACCCAAGGTCAACAAGTAAAATGGCATCATCCCAAGATAAGCAGACAACATGGCAAGCCACTGGTTCAAATCCAGGAACAATCCTAAGACTGGCAAACAATACGGTAGGCCACTGAGATGAAGACTCAGCCAAATGTAGGATCCAGATATGCTGAAAAGCTCAAGACCTTTCTCAAAGTTTCTCCTTATATACTGGAAGCAGACCACATAATTAAGGCAATGACTCAGCTGCACACAGTAGATTTCACCATGGAGGAGTTGACTGCCAGTCTTATTATGGGGAATACTACATCCAGCTGCCCAGCCACTCAAAACCAGGCCCAGCCAAGTTGACACACAACCTTAACTACCACATACTAAAAACTCACTGCTGTCGAGTTGGATCCAACTCATAGCATTCCCTCCTTGGGTTTCTGAGACAGTAACACTATGGGAGTAGATTGCCCAATCTTCCTTCTGAGGAGTGGCTGGTGGGTTTGAACTGCCAGCCTCTGGTTAGCAGTCAAGTGCATTAGGCACTACACTACCAAAGCTCCCTAACTACCACATATTATGTCTATGCTACCACAGCTCCCTAACTGCCACATACTATGTATTAAGAATTTGTACATGTATTTACATATGTACTTAATAGCTCTAGATATATATGATTTAGAAGGAAGACTTGGCAATCTACTTCTGTAGTGATAATGCCTTGGAAACCCAAGGAAGGGTCGCTATGAGTCGGAATTGACTCCACGGCAG